AATTGAGTACTAAATTTTGGCGTTCAGTACAATTTTCTAGGTGCATTGGGTGGTGCGAGTAATGCGGGTTGCCTACCCTGCAGTTTGCAGGCGCCGTCCAACTTTGACTTCAATTTTTACGGTGTTAAAAGGTAGTACAAATTCTGCCAGGTTGATATTCGAAAAGTACTAATTCTTCCGCACAGAATGCATTGTCTCTCGTTGGGATCGGACAGTTGGGCGGTGCAAACGTCATGCACGCACCGCCCCATATCGTTTTCGGATTGCGCCCACAGTTTGTTAGTACAAATTCTAATATTTGACAGGGTGAGAGTACTAATTGAGTACTAATTCCTGGCAAGTAGTACAATTCCTACCGCCATTGGGTGGTGCCTACTTGACAGAGCTGCCCTTTTCTTTTGTGGGAAGCGCCGCGGGGATAGGCAGACCCGCGATGCAACGGCGCCCGGCGGGCGTGCCTACCTCCCAGGCGGCCAGGGCGGCAGTGGGACACGATGAGCTTTTTTTTCCACTGTTCCCACGGCACGGTGCTGGACGCTGCGCTGCACGCTCGGTGAGCCTTGGCTCGAGCACCAGCGGCGGCACCCCCATCCCCACCTACCTCCCCCGCACTGTGTGTGCAGCCAACACCTCTAAATCATGATACCCAGCGTGGCCTGCCCGAGCCGAGCGCCGAGCCCAGGCCCGAGCCGACCTGACAAGAGCATTGGGATGCAAATAGCTTACGGGCTCGCCGCTGCAGCAGCGGCCCCGCCCCATCCCGCCCGCTCCGCCCCGCCCACTAGAAGCAGCGGGCATTATCCGTCTGCCGGCCCCGCGGGTCCTGTTGGGCCCCGTATTGGACCTGCCGCAGGATCAGCAAGGACACGGCCCGCGGGACGCGCCCTGCGGGACGGTAGGGCGCGCCGGGCCGGGCGCAACATGGCGCCGCAAATCCAATCGTTGCATTGTATTAGTTTGGAAACGTTTTTCCAAACTGAATTAGCGCTCCGGTCCGGCCTCGTATGGCCGCGCCGCACTGCACTGCATATAATCCGGCCGGACCGGACCGATGCAGCCGGATTAGCGACTGCGGCCGAGTGCTGCTATTAATGACATAAATAATGAAAAGCGGTAAAGTGTAACGTCAAAAACAAATGGCAACGTCTGGAAAAAAGCTCAAAAAGCGAACGGCTGGAGGGGGGGAATTTGTATCGGCCATGGAAAGGCGGCTGCAGGTCCTGTAGCACTGCTGCCGTCGAACTTTTTTCTCTTTTTTTTATATTCTGGGGTCGAGGTTTAGGGAGTTGGGGCACTGGAAAGTGCTTACGAACAATAGGTTCGTAATGCAAACCAAAACCTTTGTAGCTTACGAAGGCTTTTGAAGCGGTGCCTTACGATCTAATAAGTGTTTGTAAGCTAACAAAAAAAGTTCTCAATGCACACCGATTGTTCGTACGGTCCTTTCTAGCATTACAAACAGTCGCTTTGGAATACAACTAATTTCTTTGCGGTACAGAGAACAAAAATTGCTCGTAACGTTGCAATGCATTTGGTTCGTAAGCATTTTACCGTGGGTAGAAAGAGGTTGTCCGGCCGGCAGCGTGGCAAAGGGGGCGGGGGGCATTGCGGGGGCGACCCACTGCAGGATGTCGAGAGCGTCCTTTTGGCCTCTAATCGAGCGGGAATAAGCGAAGCTCTGAATGGGGAAGTGGCGAGGGATAGGGAGGGGGTGGCGGGGGGTCGGCAAGGTTTACTACTTGCACCGCACCGGGCCACGTGGAGCTGCCCCTCCTACCACGACTACCCCTTTCCGTAG